GAAGGCCTGGAGTTAGGAAGATCTGAGTTCAAATCCATCCTCAGGTGCTTTCTGGCTGTATGAACCTGGGCAAGTCAATTAGCTCTTTTTGCGTCACTGTCCTCATCTGTAAAATGGGGATAAAAATAATACCTCCAGGATTGTTGAGAGGATCAAATGAGATAATATTTGTAAAGAGTTTAGCCTAGTGTCTGGCTTATAGTAAGCACTGTATAAATGTTAGATCTTCTTATTGTTAGTTGAGGAGAAATGCTGTTTATGTAGTTTACCTTGATTTTAGCAAAAGGTTTGATAAAGTATCTCAAATATTATCAGATGGATTCAGGATTGGTGGGATAGCTGAACCCATGGTTTGATGTTTGTAGGGCAGGTTTGCAGTGTAGAATTTCAGGGGATCTGTGCATGGTCTTGTGTTGTTTAACATTTTTATCAATGACTTTGAAGATATGGGTGACATGCTTATCAAATTTGCAAATGACATGGCTGGGAGAGACAATACACTAGATGACAAAGTCAGTATCTAAAAGGATCTTGACCGGGTGGAGCATCAGGCTTAAATCTAATAAAGTAAAATTCAACGATATAGATCTAAAGTCTTGTACTTGGGTAAAAATATCAGCTTTACAGCTATAAAATGAAGGAGGCATTCTTAGTGGTTTGAGAAAAATCTGGGTGTTTGAGGTACTGCAAGCTCAGTATGAGTCAGCAGTGTGATTTGACAGTCAAAAAACTAGTAGATCTTGGGCTGCATAAAAGGAACATTCTTTTAGGAACTGGAAGGAGTAACCTCACTGTATTCTTTCTGCTGTGTCAGACTTCATCCGAGTTCATCGTTTTGGGCACCATGACTTAAGAAAGACATTGATACACTGGGGTGTGTCCGGAGGACAACCAGAAGAATGAAGGGTCTTGATTCCATGCCATATTAGGTTGATAAACTGCGTATGTTTAGTCTGAAGAAGTGAAGACTTAGGAGATGTGATAGCTGTCTTCACATATTTGAAGGGCTGTCATATGGAGGAAGAAATTAGACTTGTTTCTCATTGTCTCTAGAAGGCAGAACTGGAAGCAATGAGTGGAAGTTGTAAAGAGGCTAATTTAGGCTTGATGTCAGGAAAGAAACTTCCTAACAATTAGAGCTGACTGGTGACAATTCCAGAGGACCAAAGATGAAGCATGCTAACCACCTTGACACAGAACTGATGGAATCAAGATGCAGAATAAGGTATACATTTTTGGACGTGGCCAATGTAGGAATTTGTTTTGTTTGACTAGGCATATTTGTTACAAGGATTTTCTTTCTCTCTTTTTTTTTTTACCCAGTTGGAGGGAAGATGGGTAAGAGAGAAAATGAATGCTTATTAATTGATGTCAAGGATATATATGTTGCTCATGTAGCTTGTGGGTGTCCACATAGGTTTTTCTAGTTGTGACTTGTAGGGAGATATGAATGCAATCTTTAGAGACTCTTTCATATACCCTTCTCTAAGGGAGACTTTGATTCCTGCTAGGTGGGGAATAGGAGTTTGGGGCCACAGGACTTCTTCAGAGAGGGAATACTGGGCCAGAATTATCTCTAACCCTCTAAACAGCCTAGGGTAAATAATTTTTATGTGCAATCTACTCTCTTGATCATTGTCTTTTAATAGGGAAGGAATGCCAGCAGTTGTATACCAAGACTTGACTCTTCCACCAAATGCCATTTTACACAAAGATCATTCATTACAAATAGTGACTAGCGAATTAACCCTTTCTTTTCTTTTCTTTTTTTAAAATCCAAGTCAATTGCAAACATAAAAATTAGAGACATTGTATAGATTAGAATTTACAAGAGAATATACAGAGTGAATTAGTGCTCACTTTGGGAGGAAGATATCCCAGATTAACCAACAGGGAGCAACCTCAATCTTATCCAAGGGGAAACTACTCAAAGTTTTTTGTGTAGTAAGCTGAAAATAGGGACATGACTGGAATGCTGACTTTTTTATATGTCTTTTTCCTGGAGTTTTTCTCTTCCTCTAGGGACTTCTCTCTGAAGAGAACTTAGAAACGAATGTGTCTTTTTTTGAAGCTGGAAGCTAGAAGACCAAGGATCTTTCCTCTCTCAAGCTCTTGCCATGTCTGTATTTCATGCAGGTGCAGAGTATAGAGTAGTTGTCTTGATTTGTGGGTGAACCGGATTTAAGTGAGGCAGAATTGCACAGTGATGTCAGCCCCCACTCTCTTCCAGAGTCATCAAAGTCCAGTGACAAGAGAAAAGTCAAGATGACTGGCAGAGTAGTTGTTCTTTCTAACAGTGAGGAGACCCTCATGCAAATACTAGGCTTGCGTCCTGAGTTACTTTGAAATAAAATTTTAAAAGAAGTTGTTAATTCCCTTGGTGGTCTTTCAAGTAAAGGTGGGATGAACAGTTTAATCTCACACTACTTTCTGTCTGAAGCTCTGCTGGTTTCAGCTCCACAGACAAAATAGGTACCTGCTGGTTCCACCTACCGCCTTTACAGCTTCCATTTGTCTGTTGTCTTTTCCCAGTAGATTGTAAGTTCCTTGAGGGCAGAATTGTCTTTCTTATTTGTGTCTCCAGTCTTTAGCACAGGGCCTGGCTCATAATAGGTGCTTAATAAATGTTTATTGAATTATTGAATTGAATTTTCAGATATGTTACAGTGAGGATTTCTTTTAGGAATGTGATAGACTGAGATGGTCACTTATATTTCTTTTAACTTCAAATTTTGTGATTTTGTGTTGAGTTTGTTATACACTTAAAAAAATTAAAAAAACCCTTTACCCAAAGGGGATTTTGTGGCTTCATATGGTCTTTTCCCTTCGTATTTGGAAACATTCATATTTGTTTGTATTTGTTTGTTATGTATAACAAGAACTAAAAATTAATAATTATTTTCTGTCACATCTCTCCTTTTTTTTCAATCTTGTCTCCATACATTTGTCAAAATGATTTTCCTAAGACGTGGATCTGACCATATCAGTCTTCGCCTCATTAAATTCTAGTAGCTCCCTATTGACTTTAGGACACGTTTTATTTCGTATTTATAATATCCTTCCTTAACTTCTTTTTCTGTATAAGTTTTATAATGTATATGAGTTCCATAGCATATTATGTAATTTCTAAATAAGCAAATATACTTCTCTGCGTACTCAACTTTTTTTTTTTTACTGATTGGGTGGACGGTCATTAGTTTCTAGACCACTGCTCTCTAGGATCTAAGAACATTTTATGGCTATCTTTCATACATAAAATTTTTATGATGTGTTCAATGCTTTGATAATTTTGGAAGTAGCACTTCAAGAACTTCTGAGGCCTTTTAAAACGTAAGGTGTAAACTCTTATTATTTCTATTCTTAGCTGGGAAAAAGGAAAAAAAAACAAATGCCATGTGATTTTGAATACTAGAAATAGACGAGGTTGGAAATAATACCTTTACCTTGGAGCCTGTATTTTGTTTTCCTGAAAAGAACAATGTTTGAAATTTGTTACTAATTATAGCCCTAATCTTAGCTGACAGTTAAATACATGATTTCCTTTCCAGCTGATGCCTTCCCAGTCAGTCTGACATGGATAAAAATGATGCTCTTGTATTTATTTGAATGACAGTTTAAAACTAAAAAGTCATACAGTTGCCATTATTAAAAAAATTACTAGTGTAACCCCATCTAAGTGTGAACAGAGTTTATTCTGTATGCTGATGGCTGAAACTTAATTTTAGCTAAGAAATGCCAAAGGTATAGATGTTTTAAGAATTTAGGATCATAGAATAAATGAAAGACCTGGAAGGGACCTCAGAGACCACCTAGTACAGCCCACTAATTTTACATGTGAGGAAACCCCTTAGTCACTTGGATATTAAGTGTCGACAGTGGAACTTAAACCTACCTCCATTGACGCCTGTGCCAGTGATCTTTTCAATGTTTTTGGTAAGATTTGATTTATGTAGTGGTTCTGACTTGGGTCTGTGAAGAGTTTGCTACTTTTCACATTCTGGCTCTGCTGGTTAGGAGGAAAGGGTGAACTGGAAGGAATGAGACCGACAGGAGCAGTAAGAACTGTTATTAAAACTGGTCCATGGCATAGGTAACCTGTTGCCCAGGCCGAGAGAGGCAATGTTGTCTCAGGCATTGAGATATTATGTATTTATCTGATGGTTAAGTCACTAACAATCTTTCACCATTCCCTAGATTACAGTGTTGTCTTGATAAAGAAACACAGGAAACTGAGGTCCAGACAAACTTGCCATCTTGCCAGTTCTGTCTTGCTATGGCACTCCATCTCCTGTCTTGTCACTTTTATCCTGGCTGTCCCCCAATCTGGAAGCATTTCTTTCTCCCCTCTGTCTTTTAGAATCCCTTATTAACTTCAAAAATCTAATAAAGTGCCACCTTCTGTTTGAAGCTGTTTCTGGTCACTTCAGATGCTGATACCTTCCCAGCCAGGGTTACCTTGTCACAGAATCAGAGAATTTGAGAGTTGGAATGGACCTCATCAACTCAGTCTAATTCAGTTATAAAAGGAATCCTCACTACAGCCTACCTGACAGGTGGTTATACAGTTTCTGCTTATCTAAGGAGGGGAAACCCACTGCTTCTTGAAGTATCCTATTCCACTTTTGGAAGGCGCTTCTTGTTAGGAAATTTTACCTGATGTGCTTAAATTGGCCTCTTTGCAACTTTTACCTATAATTCCTAGTTCTCCTCTCTAGGGCGAAAGAGAACAAGTTCTGTCTTTTCTCCACTTGATAGCCCTTGAAATACTTGAAGGCAGCTCTTTTGTCTTCTTTAAGTCTTTTCTTTTCCAGCCTCAGCATGTCCAGTTTCTTCAGCAGAGACTTTCACCATTTTGGTTGCCCTCCTCCGGATATTTTGTAGCTTATTGATATTCTCAAATGCCCAGAACCAAATGGTTATTTTAATGCTTCTTAAATGAGGTTCTTTGGTAGTTGTTTCGGTATCTTCATTTCTTCTAATATGCCTAATTGATGTTTCAGATGGCAAGTTTGGAGCCTACATGCAAGTACATATTCAGAATGATGGGCCTGTGACTATAGAACTGGAGTCCCCAGTGGCTGCTGCTGCAGATCCCAAGCAGGTAAACCTTCTACCTGCTTACATTCTGGAGAAAGAAGAATGCTTGTTTAGTTCTTAACTATCCATTACTGCCTTTACTCATGTAGGCTTCTTCAACTCTTTATGTGTGACAATTCTTTATTTTATATAATATCTTTCTTATTAAGAATCTTAATCATTTGCTGTCTCTATGAGCAAGGCAATTTTCCCCTCTGGTTCCCCTTTTGGATTGTGTTCCTTGTAGCTGAATCAGGGCATGCTTCTGGAAGATGGTAGTTCTAACCTTATTAGTGTGAATTTTTGTTCCCCAGCAGAGTGCTGTAGAGCTCCTGGGACACTGGGGGGCAGTCGAGTGACACTGCATCCCCTACTCTTGTGTTTACAGGTTAGAGAGCCAGAATATGTTATGCTCAAATAGATTATGTCCCACGGACAGTGGGAATGTGGCATTTGAAGGTCTTCCCTAATTCATGATTTCACAAGAAATATCTGCCCTGGATTTGCTGACAACTATGTGTTTCATGAGAAAAGGGAAGAGAAACCAAAGACAATCTCTACTTTTCTCTTAGAAACTGAAAGCCCTTTTAAAGACATTAATAGATTATTTTGATAGCTTTTGAGGTAGATAAGTAGGTGGAGAAGACAAAGAGAAGTTCCCTTTCTTCCCTTTTTCCTCTTTTTTTTTGAGTAGACTAGACAATTTCCTTAAAATTCTTCCTGATCTTGGGAGTAAAGTATTGTTTAAACTTAATGGGTGCTGAGGGACCTGAATTCTTTTGGGGAATTCTTTTTTTAAAGATAGAAGGGTGCAGAAAAATGACTGCCGACCAGGCAGAATTGTTGAAAGATTTAGAATTAGAACTGGTGTTTCAAGTGTTCTCTCCCCTCAGCTCAAGAAACATTTATTGGTGAATGTCTGTGCTGGTTTGAATAGGTGCTCAAAAAATGTTTGCTGAATTACTATTTCTACTCATGTGTATGGTAATTTCAAACTGTAAGGTTCTTTCACACATTTTTCTTCTTTTTCCTATAATAAACATTTGGTTATCAAAGTGTGTGCTACAGCTACCCAAAAATAACACTCAGAGATTTTCTAAGTATAAAGTGAAACACTTATTATGTTATCGCAAGAAGCGGGCGTCTGCTTCATCCGGCAGTCCGAGCGAAGCGAGGCAAGGCACAAAGGCCAGGACAAAGGTTATATATAGCCCTAACACAGAGATTCCCACCCACCACTGGCTTTGAATTCCCACTGGACAGGAATTTCAGCCTTACAATCTAAAACGCGAAAAGCTACCCCAGAAATAAGGAATCTCGTTATAATACTACCAATCCTAGCTATTTTATCCTTTTTAGTAATTAGCCGTTACCTAATGCTGATGTAACAGTACAAATCATGTGTTTTCTGGGAACCTGAAACTTAGGCCTATTGAGGCTGGTGTAACCAACTTTGAGTTTGTAACAGTCTAAGAAATTGCTACACTCAGTCCATGTAAGTATTTGTTTACATTGTTTCACTCAGTTAAAAAAAACAGAGTCTTGACAAAAGTTTGTAAAAAGAGAGATCTTGACTTTCCCGAGAAAGTGCACCCCCATGCTTCCTCAGCTGCCCGAGAGTTCAAGTGCTCTTTGTTCAAGGCAAGACTACATAGACGCCAACATAGCAGCCCACCCTAACTCCCTTCCCGTTGGCTCATTTACTGAGCCTCAGGTATACTATCTATTTGTGTAAAAACTACCCCAGCAACAGAGAGAACAAAGAGGTATAGAAATTATGTTAGCACATTCCCCTTTTCAGGGCCTCTTTCAGCAGTCTTTTACCCAAGGTCACACAACCAGCTAGAGGACAAGATAGACAGGATGCTCCCATGTCTCAGGAATTTCTGCTAACACTATCCAAGAGTAGGAGAGGGAGAAGGCTAGGGGAGTGGGTCTTGCATTCTGAGGGGTCTTCACTTAGTGTTGGTACACATGTACCACTCAAAAGCAATAATACCAGAACCATTAACAAGAACTAATGACCCTTTGAGGAGTCTTCACTTCTGAGAGATCATCTCTCACAAAAGCCTTTACTTCAAAGAAAGACAATGAAGAGCAGTACTTTTTGCCAGTAGAAGTGCCCTTGATCCTGTGAAATATCTTTAGTAATTATTATTATTAAAGGATACTTATTTCTAAGGCATTTTCTTTTTTTTATTTATCTCAATTTTTAGAAACTGATATGCTATGTGTGAAAGGACTTCAGAAGACTATAAAATACTTAACAAATATAAGGATATGTCATTATTATTCCTGTCCCGGATACGAACCTTTCCACCCCCACCCCCAGTACATCTAGGTGTCTTAAAAAAAAACTGGGTTAAATGAGAGAGTGTTGTGTAGTGGATGCAGTGCTGGTCTTAGAATCCAAAAGAGAAGACCTGGGGTTCCCACCTGTAACGCTTCCTTACTATGTGACTATGAGGAAGACACAACTTTTATGAGCCTTAGGTAGCTCTTTCAGACTATAAATTATAGTGATGAAATCATAGGAAAGGGAATAATATGCTTACTTCCTTATAGAATTGGAGAGATTAATTCTGAATTCACTTGTAATCCTTTAACTTTCCTTTCTTCTTGCTTCTAGGCTGAGCCTAATTTGTTTTCTCATTTTTTAACTTGAGTTATTATTCTGTTTCTTGTATATTAAAAAAAAGAATGCAAAAGAACATTTGCTGAGTAAGTAAATGCATTTTTTCAAACAGTTTTTCTTGAAATAATGAAAGGGGACAATATATCTTTTGCATATTCAGATTTTTCACCAGAATCAGAAAATGAAAGGAATCTTCTTTTCTTGATGCTGGGGAGCCCTGTTAACTCCTTGGGGCAAAGCAGGAACCTGTGTTAATTGTAATAAATCAAATCACTACTCATGTCTTGTGGAGTCATGTCTTTTAGTTAACATTTAAAAAAAAACCTTTTAAAAGTTTCTACTGAAGTTTCCTACCAGTCAAATTTATGATTGCCCTTGTATTATTTTGGAGTATTAACAATGAAAATTGAATTAATGAACTAAACTGAAACTTGAAATTTGTATGAATATGTTTTATTTAGTTTTATAACTTATAGCGGTGACTAGTGTGAAAAATTCCTTTTTTGTTCCTATGTGGTAGTGCTAGGATTGGCTTGTTGTGAAGCCGAACAATGCTGAGGTTAATCTCTGGGATTCCATTTTTTCACAAAGGAAAATGTTAGGAAAAAAAAGAACTTCCTAATTAGAACTGTCTCAAAGTGGCTTCCTGGAGTAGTGGTGGGTTTCCCCTGCCTGGAGGTCTTTAGGCACAAAGTTAGACAGCTACTTGTTGGTTTATAATTACGTTATAGTAAAGATTCTTTTTATATTTATGTTTTGGACTATCTGGCCACTGAGATCCTTTCTAACTTTCTTTATTCTGTGATTCTGGGTTTTGTCATAAAGGTAAAAAGCCAGCTCCTGCACTTTCTCTTAGGGCTTTTTTTTTTTTTGGTTCAAGTTTTATTCAAGATCATATACAAAACGTTTCCAGACCCAGGAGGGTTTAATCCTCCTCCTCTTACTCCTCTTCCTCCTGGTTGATCTGAAAGTACCGTAATTCGTAACTCTCCTTGCTGTTGGCCACCACCCGCAGCCAATCCCGAAGATTGTTCTTCTTTAAGTATTTCTTTGTCAGGTACTTCAAATACCTTTTAGAAAATGGCATCTCTGACGTCACGGTTATCTTACTCTTGCTTCTCTCAATTGTTATGACTCTGCCACCGAGGTTGCCAGCCTTTCTGTTCACTTTGATTCATTCTTGCAAAAACTGCTCAAAATTAGCTGCATCCATAATCCCATCTTCCACAGGATGGGTACAATCCAGGGTAAACTTAAGGACTTGCGTCCTTTTTTTTGCCAACTTTCATCACAGATTTCTTCACAGGCGCCATGGTGATCACAGAGCCAGAAAGCTTGGGGCTTTTCAAAAGATGTAGGCCTGAATTTATTTTTATTTTTTGTCTTAGTATTGTTTTTGTATTTTATTTCTTTGTTATTTAGTATTTGTATTTATATAATTATTAAATTTATCTAAATATTAATCAAGAAATATAAGCATTCTTTTTATTTAGTGTATTTTATTTATTATTATTTTTGAATTTTTAAAAAATTTTTTATTCTGAAATTAACAATCATCATCAAAAGATGAATATTTTCACTTATACAGAACCAAAAAAGAGAATTTCTGAAACCATAGATCTTTATTATGAACAACTTGCTAATGCAGCAGTTTCAAAGCCATATTGCTTCTCTGTGTGTCCTTGTGAATCTCCTTCAGTTCTCTTCTGTGCTTTCTTTTGTGACATATACAAAGTTTGAGAGACATAATTTCTGGGTAATCATTTTATTAATCATGCTAGTAATAATTAATAGAAGGGGTCATTGGCACTGAATGCCAAAAGACCCATCATGGAACCCACTCAACTCTTACATAGCTGTGGAAGAGTGGGTATTCCTGAGGGTGGCAATCTCTGATTGGTTAACAATTAATGAGAAGAATGAATATTATAATGAAAGGTTGACTTATGCTAATGAAGGGCTGGGCACCTGACTCTTATCACTTATCACTCAGTCTTGGACAAAGAGACTTATCTCTTATTGAGACTACCCCCACTTAGGGCAATATAGACAAAAGGGGGGGTCTACTTCTGCTCAGACCTCCCTGAGTGGAACACAGTGGGCTGGAATTCACTTTAGATTAAATTTTTTGTAAGGCTCTCTAGTTGGGTGGGGCCTCCTCCCCATCAAAGGCATGTACCCCTGGAATTTGGGTAATATCATTCATCAACAATGCCCCTCAGAGATTGATCAGCCTACAGGCTTCTGAAAAGGTCCTGGTTTTAATTCAATAATTGATTATTAATATGAGAGAAATAATAATTTCTCATTTTTAAAAAATGCTGCAGTGACCATCTTTTCTTTTGTCATCAGTATCCCTAGTTTCTCCATCCTCTTTCAACCCTCCAAAT